ATAGGACATGAGGAGGTTATATGCAATACTGTGCCAGTTTACATAAGGAGCCAGGTAGTCTTGCCTCTGGCATCCAGGGGTGGCAGGGTGCCCTGAAATCTACCCCTGTGAGTACCGAGAGAAGACTCCATCTATGTATCTCTGGTCTCCAAATCTTACCATGACTGTCCCCATATAGGGGTCAGGAGGACATCGTGCCCTCCCCTCCAGGCTGGTGCCCACAGTAGTCCCTAAAGGAGACTGTGGAGAGTCAACGTCTTCAGAGGTGGGGACTCCCTGGGTAACTCGAAGATGGGGCTGGGCGGCAGCATTTGACAGGTGGTCTTTGGAGGGGGTGAACATGAAACCCATGAAGAGGAAGGAGGTAACAGGCAGAGGGAACCCTGGGAACTAGCATCAGGAAAGGTGGGCCAGCCAGGGAAATTGTGGATACTTCTTGTGAAGGGTATGGCGAGACTCAGCTTGAGAGAAGAAACCCAGCTGAGCAGAAGTGTCCACAAGAGTGACTGCCAAGTGTCACTGAATGAGAGACATCTTAGCTGGAAGTGGTTCCTCAGGAAGCTGATTCAAGACCCAGGGAGGGGCAGAGAAGAGAGGGAGTCTGCTGTCCCCGAGGCTTCCTGATACAGCTGGGGGGCGGTGAGCTGTGTGTGCGGGGTATACAGGAGTGCCGTTTCTGGTGAGGGGACCCAGCTATCCCACCTGGCCTTTGTTTATTTATGTGTACTGTACGTGTGTAGTATGTATGTTAGGGAGCACATGTGTGTATGGGCATGTGGTCAACATTGGATATCTTCATTAATCACTTGCCAGCTTATTTTTATTTTATTTTTAACATTTTATTTATTTATTTATTTTTGGTCTTTTTGAGACAGGGTCTCCCTGTAGCCCCAGCTGTCCTAGAACTCACTATGTAGACCAGGCTGGCCTTGAACTCACAGAGATCTGCCGCCTCTGCCTCCTGAGTGCTGGGATTAAAGGCGTGCGCCATCATGCCTGACTTGTTATTCTTATTTTATGTGTATGAGTATATGGCCTGCATGTATGTATATGCACCCATGTTGTGCAGTGCCCTCAAGAGGTCAGAAGTGGGCGTTGGATCCCCTGAACTGGAGTTATGCACGGTTGTTAGGCACCATGTGGATGCTGAGAACTGAACCCAGGCCTCTGCAAGAGTAGCCAATGCCCTTAACCATCTCTCCAGCCCCTTTATTTTATGTTTTTGAGACAAGGTCTCACTATGCATCCCTCTACACCAGGCTGGCCTGGAGATCACAGAGATCTGCTTGCCTTTGCCTATGTCTCCCGGGTGCTGGGATCAAAGGCATGCACCACTATGCCCAACTCTACCTTATTTTTTTGAGACAGGGTCTCTGAAGCTGGAGCTCACCAATTCAGCTAGGCTGGCTAGCCAGTGAGGTCCAGGGATCCTCCTGCCTCTGCCTTCCTAACACTGGGGTTACAGATATGTGCCACCAGGCCTGGCTTTTATGTGGGTTCTGGGGTTTGAACTAAGGCCTCATCTTTGTGTGGCCAGTGCTTTACTGAGCCATCTCTCCAGCCTTCACCTGGCTTTTTAAAAAAATCTCTGCTTTCCTTCTCTACCATAGCAAGGAGCCAAAAATCTCCCCAGTGCTGGACGGGAAGAAACGGAGACGCAACTCCGCTGTGCCTTGGATTTCTGAGAGACATCAGTGTGTCACCCCAGAGTGTGTGTCAAAGAGCCCTAAGGAGATCTGAACCTTGAGTTCCTGTGCTGCTCAGCTGGGCCCAGAGGCTTGGCTGGGTTCCTCCTGTTTGTGCTGTCCTCTCCCTAGTCTAGCTCGCAGCCTGGAGCCCAGGCACTGGACCCTGTTGGACCATTGCTGAGCCAAGGGAACAGAAAGTGGAGGCCTGAGCCTCCCTAGGTCAAGTCCCCAGAGTGTCAGTTCCCCAGGGTGGCATTAAATCACCTGGGTAAATGCCCACAACTAAACGGCCCATGTTCAGGAGCAGCTGGCCAGCCTTAAAAGTTGGCGAGAAAAATAGAACTGCTCCCTGCCTGCCATCAATCCCCTATCTGCTGTCCCCTAAGGACAAATAAGAAATATAAGTCACGTGTTAGAACACTAGCTTTTCACGTAAATGTGAGGACTCTTGTCTTGAAAGAACAAAGATCTAAAGCTTGCCTGTCCTCTGCCTCCCTGACTCTCTGAATTATTGTCCCCAAAGGAGTACAGACCTTTCTGGGGCTGGAACTGCCTCTGTCAGGAAGCTGCACTTCTCAGAATGTCTTTGGGATAGCGCTCACAAAGGTGGCTCCATCTGAGAGAAAGCAAGAGGACACTGCAGCTGCCCCTGGACACAAATCCCTCTTATTCTGTGGGATGCAGCTGACAATTCCCGGGAGTGGGGGCAGCTTTGGCTGCCCTGGGCTGCAAGCTGGTGACCTGCAGTTCATTTATTTTCCTGAGTGGAGTTAACCAGGCCTCCTGGGATGGCACAGTAGGCTCAGCAAAGCCCTCAGCCATCCGCATGGTGAAGCCCAATGGCTCCCACCCATGGCTCCCACATGCTCACTGTCTTCTCTCTCACCAAAGATCCCCAAGAGAAACAGGCACATGGAAATCAGGCATCCTCCAGCAGCTGGGCCCCAGTGTCCTTCACTGGGGTAAGGACTTTGCTTAGTCTATCTTAATATTTGAATGCAAAATCTACAAGCACATATTCCTGTGGTTAGGAATATATATTCCTGTGGCAGGTTCTTACATCACATGCTTTGTGCTAAAGAGTGGGGAGAAATATTCTGACTGCAGCCATTGTCTCCCCGGGGAACCAGCTGCTTGAGAGCCTGAGCATTGGGGTGTCATTTTTTTCTTTTCTTTTAGAGAAAACATTTGTGGGTCAGACGAATCACATTTTACTCAGCAAATATTTGCTGAGAACTTACTGTGTGTAAGGCACAAGCAGTTGATCATCTGGAATGTTCTCTGGTCTTACTGTATTTTGGGGGCCAATCTGTCAGGGAAGGACACATGGGGGCTGACTGCTATTGGGAGCTGTCTACGGCTTATAGACCAGCATGTGCTGTCTCACGTGTGTTTTTCATTGGGCCCCTCTGTCTATTATAATGTAAGCGCGAAGGGGTGCTGGGGAGCCTTGGAGGAGTATAAAGCAGGAGAGGGGTAACCTTTTCTCACGTGTGTTTTTCATTGGGCCCCTCTGTCTATTATAATGTAAGCGCGGAAGGGTGCTGGGGAGCCTTGGGGGAGTATAAAGCAGGAGAGGGGTAACCTTTTATGTTGGGAAACTGGCTGGTTCTAGCTGAGAGGTCTGTGTTTGCCCTCCCAGCAAATGCTAGGGTCCTGTTTCACTTCTTTGAACATCTGGTCCCTGGGGAGGCCTTGGGGTCTCCCACAGCACTCTGCAAAGAGAGCATAAGAGTCATCCATAGGTAGGATGTTTGTTCTGGGGCAGGGTCCCTTTAGGGCTGCCAGGACCCTGGCTATGATCCTAGCAAGTCCAGTAACAGAGGAGGAGCTTGTCTCTCACACGCAGAGCTGTGGCACGCTACTTAAACCCAATCCTTGGGCCAGCAAGATGGCTTTAGCAGGTAAAGTCTCTTGCTGCCAAACTTGACAACCTGAGTTCCATTCCTGGAACCCACATGGCGAAAGGAGAGAGAGCCAACTCCCGCCAAGTTGTCCTCTGACCTCCACACTCATACTGTGGTACACATGTACGTGCATACACACACAAACACACACACACACACATAAAAACAATAATAATAATAATAATAATAATAATAATAATAATAAAAAAATTTAAACCTAAACCTCATTTTGGAACCCAGAAGATGGACTTGGGGGGTTCACTGGGCCTCTATTTGCTCCTCTTCCCACAGTGTAGCCACATTGGATAAATCTTTCTCTATTTTTCAGTAATTTTTTTTGCTTAATTGGCCTATGGACGGGGGCAGCCAAGTCTGGCTTGTGAGGGCTGCTGGGGCCCAGACTAGACTCTGACAGTCTGGTAAAAGAGTTGCCCTCCAGTGACACCAACTGAGAGACTCAGGGTCAGATAACAGGCAGGAAAAGAAGGGCCAAGAGCCTCTGCTGTAACGAGCATCCTCACTTCATAATAAGAGGAAACACAGTCCGTCCTTGGCACCCCAAACCCCCCTCCACCCCCGTGAGCTGAAGCCAACATGCCCATGAAAGCGTGGGCTGGAGGAGGCAAGGATTGGTGTTCTAAGCTAATTCTGAGCACAAAGTAGTCTCTCAGTAAACACACTGGGAGCAATCAATGCTTCAGAGCAATGCCAGCCATTTTACTTTGGGAGAAACTGAGGCTCAGAGAGGTGTAACAATTCCCTTCTAGTCACAGAGCCAAGGAAGTCAGTGGGTCTGCCTGATCCCCCAAAAGCAGGGGGACTTGGTCAATATCTGGAGTGCCCTATCAGAGTCAAGAACATGTTATGACTTTGAGGGCCCTCGGGTCCCGACCAAGAATTAAAAAGTTATTACTTATGTCACTGCTGTCTGAAAATGAATATAATCCCCACTGTATAACATTCTCATGTCCCTGTTTACTTTAAGAAGTGAAGATATTTAGCTAGATGCAGTGACACGTGCCTATAATCCCAGCACTCAGGAGGCTGACCTTGGCTAGATAGTGAGTTGGAGGCCGCCCTGGGCTTCATGAGACCCCATCTCAAAACAGCAAAAAGAGCTAGTGATGTAGCTCAGCTGGCCCAGCGCTTGACAAAGCTGGGGTTCCATCCCCAGCACTGTGCAAAACGGGAGTTGTTGGTGCACATCTGTCATCCCAGCACTTGGGAGGTAGAGACAGGAGGATCAGAGGTTCAAGCTGTTCCTCAGCTAGAGAGCAAGTCCAGGCCAGCCTGGGCTACGTAAGACCCTGCATCAAAATAAAAACAGGAATAAGGGAAAGAAGGAGCTGTCGCTGGTCTCCCCCTGCCCTGAGCCGTCCCCGGTCCCCTACAGCGGGCCACTCACCTCTTCCTCCGCTCTGAAGTCCGGCATAGTGCTCACACACAGGCTGACCGCTGTGGTGGCCACGAAGAGGATGGAGAGGCAGGCAAAGACCTTCCCGGGCAGGCCAGACTGCGGGTCCTCCACCATCTCCCGCAGCCGGTCCATGCTGCGGGCCCAGCGGGAGGCCTGCACGTCGGGGTGCCTGGCCTGGTGCTGCTGCCGCCGCTGGGCAGCCTCCTCCCGGCGCAGCTCGGCCACCTCGTCCAACTTCTCGAGCAGCTTGCGCAGGCAGCAGCGCTCCAGGTTGGCCTCCTCGATGCCCCAGTAGCTCAGCTCCTCCTGGAAGGACAGCGTGCACATCTCCCGCAGGAGTACTAGCTTCCCGGCCGCCAGGAAGCTCACGATCACCCCGAAGGCGCTGGGGCTCCGGTCGAAGAAGAACTCTTGACTGTCCTCGTCGTAGTCGTCACAGAGTTGTGTGATCTCCTGGTAGCTGCGACACAGCCGAAGCCTGCTCAGGCGGCTCAGAGGAAAGGCGTCCAGTGTGCTCCAGGGCAGCAGGTAGCGCAGGCCACCCACGTTCACTAGGATCTCCTTCTTCAGGTCTGCCTCGGGAGAGGCGTCCAGGGCACCCAGCCTTCGAGCCCTGCCATAGTAAAGACCCTTGACCGGCGGCAGCTCTGGGGGACCAGGCCAGAGCTGACTCAAGGGGCTGTGGGAGCCAAAGTGATGGTGTCCGGGCCGCTGGTCCCTGTCTCTGGAAGCCATGGGCATCGTCGCAGACGGCCAGGCCAGGGAGCTGTGGGCTCACCTGTCTGCCTCCAGGAGAAAAGCAAGAGGGTAGAGCGGTGTGAGTGTCAGACGGAGCTGGCAGTGTAAACGCTTTGTTGCACGTGTGTGCTGCACAAGCCATCCTCTGAACCTCCCATTTGTTTCCTGTTTACTAAGAAGCCACTGTATGTCTGGGCCATGCCAGTGGGCAAACCTTGCCCCAGGGGAAGTGTGTATATCTAGAGACGCCGTGCTGGCCACTCTGCATGTATTTCTGCCTCTCCATGATGTGGACATTTGTGAATGGGGGCGTGAGTGACGGATCCTGAGCTGTGCTATCCCCAGGCTTGTGGTCTTGGGCATGTGGACTCATGTCTGTTCTCAGATGACAAGACTTGTGCTAACCCTGCAGTGCCCTGCTCGTGAAAAAGCTCTCAGGGTCCCCGTGTGGTTATAGTTTCTCACAGGGACCGTGGGGGCTGGGAGGGAGGGGGAAGCCTTCCTGGGTCTTCTGCTTAGTCTGTGTGAGGGGGGATGTCTGAGCTCCTGCACCGGGACACGGAGCGAGTGTCCATAAGGGTCACTTCTAACACTCTGATGTACCAGGTTTTTCTAATGAGTTCATCTTGACTGCCCCCACAAGGTAGACAGGCGCAGTTCCACTTTATAGATCAGGATACTGAGGCCCAGTGAAGGGAATATCTCACCCACTATTTAACAAATGTCTGCTGTTCAATAAGGCTCAATGAAGTCAGCCACTGAAGGCTCAGGGGATGGGGATGTGACGGCTTTGCATGGCACCTCTCAGGGGCTCACCACGACAGCGTCACCCCAGCTGCTCTCTCTTGTGAAGAATGTCTCCCATTTTCAATGCCTCTTTTCTCCACATGCATGAATTTCCAATGTGTTCGTTTGTGCTTGCCTTAGCCACCCTTGCTGTGTGACCTTGAGGTGGTTACCCCCCCTCTCTGGGCCTTGGTGTTTTTTTTATCTGTGAAACGAAGAGCCTCTAATGCTCTCTGCACTGCAGATTTTTCTGGGAGCTTCATGTAGGATAAGTATTTTAGATTTTAGCCCATTCGCATATTAAAAAATCATCCTACAGTGCCTTGGCCTCGTTCTTGCGTGGTCATTTCTTACACTGTTCATTCCTGCCAGAGTTGTCTCCTGGCACCTATAACCTTGTATTTTGAGAGACACTCCAATCAGGAGCCCAATGGAAATAAAAGTTCCTCTCAGCCCAGGGCCAGCTGGATTCTGGCAGCCGGTGAGGAGTGAGTCAGGACCGCCAGTTCACATCGGCCCCTGCTCTGCTATTCTGCTCCTGTTACTTGGTTCACAGTGCACGGCCAACAGAGGAGTGGAGCCTGCAGAGAGAGTTTGAAATCTGGGGAGCTCTCCCTAAGCTTTCTCATTTTCCCAGTGCAAAAACCAAGGCCCAGAGAGCTGAAGGGATTCATCCAAGGTCACACAGCAAATCTGAATCCAGTCCAGGACTTGGCTTCCCAGCCTGGGGTTCTGTCTAGAGCTACAATAGAACCCTCTCCCCTTTCACTGGACAGTTGACTGTGCAGTCTCCTGCCTCCCTAACAGCTGGCCAGCAAAGGTCCTTCAGAGCCCAGGGACAGGAACTAATTCCAAACATCACTTTTGCCACACTGTTCAATACCATTGCCCTTCTAGAACCTCCCCATCCAAGAGCAAAGCAACTTCCTCTGAAGTTTAACTTACCGCTTCTCTTAGGAAGGGTGTTGACAGCTGGTTCTTTGCTGGGCAAGGGGAGCCCATGTCTCGGTGCCCAGGAAAGAGAGAGGCTTGTGATGATGTACGGGGAGAAAAGCAACACAAAACGCCCAGGCACAGCCTGGCAAAGTTAGTGTCCAACCTCTCCTCCCCAGCCTCCTCCAGAGAGAAGTTCATTCATTCTGACACTCTACAGATGAACCAGGGGGCAAGGTGGGTTTTTAGAAGCCCCTGAAGCCTCCCTTCCTCATGAGAACTGAGAGTCATGCTGCAGATTCTGGGCCAGCTGTCCTGCCTCAGCAGCAGACTTGATGCTCCAAGTCCCCCAGGGGACAGCCAGCATGGTCCTGTGAGGAAGGGCGACCGGGAAGGGCTTAGGACCCATTGCTTCAGCAGCCAGGCGGCAGGCAGGAACGGCCTCAGCTCTGCCAGCTGCTGGGAAAGGAGAGTGTCTATCCTCCCTCCCCCATGAGGAGGAGCTGAGCTGGGGAGGAGCTGGGCCAGCTGGGGGCCGGGCAGCCAGCCACAGCCTCCAAGGCTCCTCGAGGTGTGCTAAGTAAGGATGGGGAGATGCCCAGGCCAAGGCTGCAGGGGAAGTTTCTGTCTTGCAACTAGTTCATTCCTGGGGCAGGTTGGGAGAGCTAGACCCAGCCTGGGAGGCCAGGGTGGGCATTGCGTAGGCCGTATTAGGGGTAGGGATAGAAGAATGTATGAATGTGGGGCCAGCAGACACTCAGGTCCCTAGCGAATGTCTGGGTGACCTTAGGCAAGGGGATTAGTGTCTCCAAGACTCAGTTTTCATATCTGTAAGAAGTATTTGAGTGACGGGGGCTTGGGAGTATACAGCCCAAACCACTAGAACAAACTCCTCCCATGGGCTTGGCTCTCGGCATAGGTGGGGGGAGAGGAAGATGTGTGTGGCGAGGGCCTGGCTCTCATCAGTGCTACTTGCCATGTGTCCTTGGTGAGCGACTTTACCTCTCTGGGCTTTGGTTTTCTCACCAGTCAAATGAGGACCATGGCCTGCAGCAAAGACTGAAACAACAGAACCACATTAACATAGTCGTCTGCCACCCGCACGTTCTTCATCTTAAGAGATTTGCTGCCCAGTCTTTTGACAAGTGACCTTCAGGACTCCATTCTGCCCTCGAAGCCCCAAGAGGCTTGTTCAAAGTTACCTTGCTGATTAGTATCTGCTTGAGGTTAGGATCCTCCCTAAACAGACGGGATCTGATGGGGGGTCCAGGAGTGGGGTGTCAGAAGCTGGCATTCTCCAGCTCCTGGGTAGGGACAACAGAAGCCGCTGGCCTCCAGGGTGGGGGTGGGGGAGCTCCAGTAGTCTGACTGTGTGGTGAAGGAAAGCAGGAACGGGTGGAGAAGCTGGCTGGGGCAGGGGTTCTCAAAGAGCGCTGTGGGAACCCTAGGGTCTGCAGAAATGGTGAGGAGCCTGGGGAGGCAGGACGAGAGCTAGAGAATACCCTGCTTCCTCTGACTCCCCACGGCCTCTCAGGCCTGTCTGCCCCCAGCTAAATGCTCAAGTTACTGCTGGGGCCCAAATCACAGACCTGGGGTCCCTGTGAGGAGCACAGAGATACCACCCCTTTGCTGCCTCTCCAACTCTCAGCCCCTCTAGGCCAGGGTCTGGAATTCTCTCTGGTCTCTCCCTGAAGAAGAGTTCCCTGTTGTGTCTCTTGGCCTAAATACCCACACCAGGCAGCCCCCCTCTCTCAATTCTCTTTGGGTCAGCAGAGTCAGGGTGCCAATCGGAAGAATTTTCCTTTCTGGAGTCGGGTGTGGTGGCACATGCCTTTAATCCCAGCACTCAGGAGGCAAAGGCAGGCGGATCTCTGTGAATTCAAGGCCAGCCTGGTCTACATAGTGAGTTCCAGGCCAGCTGGGGCTACAGGGAGACCCTGTCTCAAAAAGACCAAAAAAAAAAAAAAAAAAAAAGAAAGAAAAGAAAAGAAAAGAATTTCCCCTTCAGTGCTTGCTATACAAGCAGGAGGATCTGAATTTGATCCCCCAGAACCCTCATAAACCTGGTGACACATGCCTGTGATCCCAGTGCTGGGAGGCAGAGACAGGAGGGTCCCTGAGGCTTGCTGGCCAGTCAGCCTAGCAGAATCCAGGAACTGCAGGTTCAGTGAGAGACCCTGCCTCAGAAAATAAAGGGGAGAGTCACTGAGGAAGAGACCTGCCGATGTTAACCTCTTACCTTCACACGAACACACACACACATGCACACACACACACACACACACACACAGTAATTTCCCTTTCTGGCTGGGTGACCTTGAAGGAGCACCTCTCTGGGTCTCACTTATCCCTTCTATGAGGTGATAATGTGACGGGAATTCTTGTTGCATTGATGCTAGGGTAATTGCAGCCCTAAGTATTTTCTGAGTCACACAGAAAAGATTCGAGTGAACAGAAAGGTATCTGCTGTTAATAGGTGCCCAGGAGGCTGGAGACTCACAAGTTCAAGGCCAGCCTGGGCTACACAGCAAGTTCAAGGCCAGCCTGGGCAACTTAGCAAGACCCTGTGGCAAAATAAAAAGGTAAGGAGAAAGAGCTGGAGAGATGACTTGGTCGGGAAAGCACCTGCCTTGCAAACGAAGACCTGGTCCCAGGCACTCAGGTATAAAAGCCAGAGAGGATGGCATGAGCGTGTAATATCACGCTGGAAGGTGGAAGCAGGAGGATCCCTGGGCCTCACTGGCTAGCCAGCCTGGCTTCCTTAGGGAGTTCCAGGCCAGCGAGAGACCCTGTCCAGAGGAATGATTTGGGGAGGGTGGGTGGGTCACAAACCACCCTCACCCAGGGTCAGGATTACGATTAGGCTCTGCCTCACTGATCCAGGTGGGTTTATGGTGCCGTGCCTGTGTGGCTTGTTGGCTGTGTGGCCATGGGCAAGTTGTCTTTCCTTTCTGTACATCAGGGCAGCGGGGTGATGCAGTCCTCAACCCTCAGGGTGTTTGTGAGGAATGAATGAGTGAATGTGTTAACACCCTGGGCTTTTCCAGCCATTCTCTGTCTCAACCTCATTGCTGTCTCTTATCATTACAGTGGTGCAAGTGTCCCTAAGAGCAGGATCAGACAGGTGCTGGCTGCTATTGATCTGGTAGCATGTGATGCACTGATGACAGGTTTCTTGTAGAAACCCTGAGAACCAATGCTTGCCCATTCCTGTGGTATAAATACTCCTACCCTGGCTGGTTTCAAGGGAGCAGCGTCACTGTGTGCTGGGTTGGGGAGGAAGGAGGACAGGCTCCTGCTTGGCTGTGCTAGTGGGGTCTAGACATCTCCCGGGGACTCTGAGAGGAAGTTGGGGTGATGGTGTTGTGGGAATGATTTTATAATACGGACATGCTCTGGACAATTGATTCTTAATCTTTCAACCAAAAAGTCAATCTTACCTTAGCTTGTTTATAATGTAGACAAGTTCGCTGAGCCTTGAGCTCCTCTTGTGACTAAAACATAAAGCCTTGATTCCTCATGACCCTTCCTTGCCCTTGACCCAGAACTATGTATGAAAATGTACGTGTGTGTGTGTGTGTGTGTGTGTGTGTGTGTATGTTTGTGTTTTGCATGCCAAACCCTGCAAACAGTGGAGAGATTTGTTGAAAGCAACAGAGTATCTTTTGTGTTACAAACAATAGATGGGATTAAATTGATGGCTCTGTTTGGAGCTATGTGTGTCCTAGGTCAGTAGGTGTCAGAAGAGACACAGCCCCTTTCCTTCCCTGTTTCAACTGGAGTGTGCTTTCAATAGAAGAGAGAGGAAGGCCTTTGTTTAAGAGCTCAGTTCCATGAGAATTCTTAAGGAACAGGTTCTCAGAACAGTTTGGAACCCTCTTGGCTAAAATGGATACTAAGAGTCAGGATGGCTTTTTTTAAATTTTATTTTATGTGTATGCGTGTATTGCCTGCATGTAGGTAAGTGCACCCATGTCATACAATGCCCATGGAGGACAGAAGAGGCTGTCGGATCCCCTGGAACTGGAGTTACAGACAGTTGTTAGGTGCCATGTGGGTGCTGGGATTCAAACCCGGGTCTTCTGTAAGAACAGTCAGTGTTTTTAACAGCTGGGCCATCTCTCCAGCCCCTCTGTTTTTTTTATGTATTATTTTTATTTTATGCATATGAGTGTATTGCCTGCATGTAAGTGCATCTGTGTCGTGCAAGGCCCGCAGAGGCCAGAAGAGAGCATTGGAACTGGAGTTACAGGCAGCTGTTAGCCACCATGTGGGTGCTGGAAATTGAACCTGGGTCCTCTGCAAGAGCAGCTAGTGCTCTTAACCACTGAGCCATCTCTCCAGCCCCTTGTTTTTTGTTTTTGTTTGCTTGTTTCTCTCTCTCTCTCTCTCTCTCTTTCTCTCTCTCTCTCTCTGTCTTTTTGAGGCAGGGTCTCCTTGTAGCCACAGCTGACCTGGAACTCACTATGTAGACCAGGATGGCCTCGATCTCATAGCAATCCACTTGCCTCTGCCTCCCTGAGTGCTGGGACTAAAGGTGTGAGCCACCACACCCAGCAGAGTCAGGTTGTTTTTGTTCAAGCATAGTCATAATGTACCATCAAGTAGTACCTCACAGGTGTAGACCAACAAAGGCAGACCCCTGGGCGCAGCATCCTGTGGGGCAGCACCTCAGGAAGGCTGGTGAGGGAGCATCCCGAGGAAGGCTAGTGGCGTCTCTATGTGCTTCTTGTGGAAGAATGAAGCGGGGGTTGGCATGTTCCCTCCCTGCACCCCTCTTTTCCTGCCTTCTTCTCTGTCCTGAGGACTCTTGTGATGATCCTCAGCAGCTGCAGGCTGGATCAGATGGTATTGCTGTAGGGCGTCCAGCCTGCTCCCATTGCTTTGGGGGTGAGCACAGGTAGGCAGGCTCCCTTCCTAGAATGGCTGCTCCCTCCAGCAACTGATGCCCAAGTGCCTCTCCCCAGAGTGCAGGGGTGTGGGCTGTGGTCCCCCATTCCCAGCAGTCCAGCTCCCCATGGGCCTGTGTTAGAGAATGCAGCCTGTGGCTCTGGGCTTCAGTAGGTCCTGGAACACAGATCACCAGGCAGGACCTGGTGCTATGCAGGAGACAAACTGCAACAGTGCCCATGACATGGTGGCAGGAAACTTTTGACCATGTCAATCTCCAGGGGAGAAATTTGCTCGGGGTAGAAGGTGGTGGTGATGTAGGGGAGGGGAGAGGGGTGAGAGATGGCAGGAGGTGAGAATTGTCAGTCCAGGAGGCCAGGGTTCAGTGAAAAGCCTCCTAGTGGACGTGGCATTATTGGACGCAGACTATCCCCCCTCCCCGCCACCCCCAGTACCACACATTACAAAAGTATTTTGCTCTTGGAAGCTGTAGAGACGCATTATTGCCCTGCCATGGGAACTTGGCCATG